TAAACTAAAAAAAATAAGAAATTGTAGAATTTTTAAATATTAAATAATTTTTGTTTTATTCCCACACATAAATGAAAAGAAATTAAAATAAACGGAAAATAAAAAAACCGCAATAGAACCGGAAGTGTGCTATATTGTTTGCAAAACGAAGAAAGTAGTTACTTTTTTGTTTGTTTTGATTACAACAATTCTCAGCTTGGCTTAAGAACTGTTCTAAAGTGTGACAAAGTGTAATTGAACGTATGAGTGATATAATTACCCGGCTCAAAACATATCATTAAATAGTGGCAATTTTTTTGAAAAAAAATAAAGCGATTTAAGCAAAAAGAAATTTAATATTATTACAAAAAAGGCAATCAGATACTTAGAAGCTTCTTAAAGGATAAACCGAAAACTTAAACAAAAAAGGATATTATTGCGATTTTGTTGCTGCTCTATAATGCCCATTTAGCCCATTGAATGGATATACAAAAAAATATATATTTTTTGGAATATTTAAGGAAATACTAAACACTAAGAATGTAAGTTTGTGTGTAATTACGAAAGTGTGTTTATGTGTGCGTATGCCTGATATTTGTTTGAATGTGCGTATGAGTTATACTATTAAGAGAAATTAAATTAAATTTCTAAATGTGCGTATGAGTGATATTTTTAATCGAATATATTTGTTGTATAATTAAATTGAATCATGGAAGGCAGAGACGTGAATGAACTTATATAGTAATAAGTGCATAGGATATAAATAACTCAATAGACTGGAATTTATGGACTATAATTGGTGTTTTCTCATGTAACAATTAATATCCAAGACATGAGCAAGTTATTGAAATATATATTTTTTAATGCATCTTCTTTTGTGCGGGTCTATAAATTAATATATGATGTTAAGATTATGTTTTTTCTTATTTTAATTTTTAAGACAATGTTAAAGGAAAACTATTTGTTCGAATGTGCGTATGAGTGATAATTTTTAATTAAATATAATTCATTGTATAGTATAATTGAATAATATAAGGCTGAACTGTTAATGAGCTTGCTTAATAATCTGTGCAGAGGATATAATTAGTTTAAAAATGTTTTAATGTAAAAATCCATAACCAAGACATTAGAAGGATATTGAAAAAAATTAAATTGCATATCAAGGGAAACTAATTTAATAGATATATAAAATGTGTATCAAAATGTGTGCGCGTACAAAAATCCCTGCCTGTGTGTGCATGTGTGCCAGAGTAAATTCATTGAGTGTTATTGTGTGTGTGATATACGAATTTTTAAAGGACCTCATTACAATGCAATATCTACTGAACATAAATGGTGAGGTGTACATTTAAAATACCTAAAATTGACCAGGATTTTTATATGGGGTATTTGGGTTGGGAACTCAAAAAATACCGCAATCTTCAAAACACCCAAAATTGGGGTTGCAGTAATTTATGACAAAATATCAAATTAAACCAACTCGATAAAACACGTGCCCAAAATATCAAATTTTAGGGAACAGTTACAATTGGTAATTTTTTGGTAGGGGGATTTTCTACTCAACCAAAATCCATAATATAAAACTAGAGCCATTTTCAATGAAAAAAGTGTCCGAAACTCCCTAAAAGTGAACTAACCAAATGAAAACCCAAAATATTACATTACAGTCAATTCAGTTGAAAAATCTGTCCTGGGGAAAAATAAATGCTATCAGGCATAAGGTAGAGTGTGTACTAATTTGGTCAATTCTAATAGTATCCTTATGTGAACACTTCACAATTTCTACAATTCGATTGAGAATCCTAGATAAGGCATTAAAATAATTAAAATTTGCCTCTATAATTATATGTTGGCGACCGTTATCTATTTTCTTACCTATTCTTGATGAGGTACTAGAAGGAATAGTCACATGAATGTCCTCTTCCTATTCATATTAGATTTGATAACATTAGAGTGACCACTAAAAACTTCATCACGCCACAACAAAACTATTTCATACCCTGGTATATTTTCCAAATCTTATACCGTATACCACAACCACTGAACTCTAATTTTCTGCGGATCTGCCAGTCTTTCTGAAATGGGCAATATTCGATGCTGTGTGATTTTGCATTTGCATTCGACTACGCATTTCATAATATTTCGGTATATTTTCCAAATCTTGTTATTCTGACATAACATGAAAATGTTGTCATTCATATGACCCGCTGAATATTGACCGGTCATTATTAAGACAGTCTTTCTAAGAAATATGCTAGACTCCGTTCCCCGTGTGATGTGTTGTGATGTTCAGCTTAAAATTGTGCGACTTGGATACGCATTAAGACCAAAGTCACATGCAAATCCTAGCCACCAGCGCTACATTTCCACCCCTTTAAATATTTACGTATAACTCGTCTATCTAAGTGCATATATCAACTTATCGGATCCATGTCCAACAGGAGCAAATATATACACCATAGAAAAACAATTTTGTAATTTTTCACACAAAAGTCTGGGTTCATTTGATCCGCTAAATGTTAACCGATTTTTATCATTTTTATTGTTTGGCCAAATTCCTTCCAAATCCCCTTTCCCAAATATTTGGTTGGGAAATAATAAATCCATTATTTTTCATCAAAAATACCGATAAAATCGGCAAAACGGTAAAAGGTCTTCTTTAAAACCCGTCCTACATGCAAAATTTCGTGACGATTGGTCAATAACAGTGGCCTGTATCGTGTTTAAAAATGAATAATGTACAGACAGACAGGCACACAAGTCTTGATCGACGCAGCTAGTCGAGATATTACACAACTAAAATTAAAAGGTGGATCTAGCATCAATATTTTGCCGAGTTACAAACTCTTGGGCCCACACAAAGCTATAATACCCTGACAATAAAGTTGTATAGAGTGTAAAAACTTGACCTATGGAGAATTGGTCCTTCTGCGATTCTAATATACTCACCAAAGGCTGTCATCCTCATAAAGAATTTTTCACCTCATTTTTGATCAGTTCTGGCAGAACCCTAAATACTTTAGTCAATTTTAAAAGGACCATCGACTGTATTGTGCGTACGATAACCTTCGTAAGGACTATACAATTTGATTCAAACTTCCAAACTACACAGCAAAATAAATATTACTGGCGCATTTCTTCTAGTTCCTAACCTAGTAATGGAAGCCCAATTTTGAAAATATTCCATTCTAGTCAAAATTCCGCTGCATAGAATTAGTGGTTAGCACAGTATGTCTATTCGTCCTACTCCGAAAGTAAATATGGGCCAAATGAATAATATTACACATCACATTGAAGTATAGGGTATACAAATAGTCTCCGGAGCCATATGCCTTTTTCGAGTTAATGATTATTTTATTAATGCGTAGAAATTTAACAAATTCGCTCACTTTCATTTAGGGGGCCTATTCAAGACATCTGTATAACAGATTTGTATTATTAAAAACATAATGGGACTTAATATAGTACTGTTTGTGATTTTCGGCAGATTAAACATGAGTTACCTTTGTATATGACGACAATAAGTAATTAATCAGACTAATTTCAATATCCTTTATTTAAGTAACTCTTTTATTCCGACTAGAAAATATTTCACCTTTCAATATATAATAGCTCCACAATAAGTTTTATATTTATCTTTAGATGTATAGTTTTGTATAATTTAAGTTTTATATCTTTGTATATCTTTGGTTTTATACGCCATGAAACTAAAATTATTATTTGTTTCTTCTCATTTCAGATTTATATAGACAACCTGACTAAACTACAAACATAATAAAACCCGAAGTCCGTATGTGATGTGATAAAGTGTACAAAAAAAGAATTTATGAATTTTCAAATTCTATTTCTCTAAGAAACAGACCAACCGACCAACTTTAAGCTTTTTATTAAAATATAACAACGGAATTCTAAATAAAAAAACAATCCCGCGATTTGTTAATAAATATATTAAAATATTATAAAAAAAGAAAACATATTTGTACAGCTGTAACGTTAAATATAAGTGATTTTTGAATCGGGTTTATTAGTGCGTATAAGTAATAGTAATAGAAACGAACACCGTGGCGTATGATTGATTGCTTTACATTAATCGTATAAGTTGAGTATACTACGAATAACAACAGCCTTAAATGTAATGAAACGAATTTAAAAGTTAATGGTCAAGTGAAATTTAAAGGAAAAAGGAAAATAATTTATGGAAATTTAATAATAACAACAAAAATAACAACAACAACGGTGAAAGTGTGTATCAAGAGTCCTTGTACCAGCCTCCTACAACAACTACCAAACAATAGCAAAGCAACAAATGTGAATGTGTATCTGTTACGACGAGAGAAAAAAGTGTCTATATAAAAGAAACGAGCTATTACGTCGTAATGCTGACGTCGTTATCATAAAAAATAGAAATGAAAGAAAAAAAGAAATTGAATAAAACATAAAAAAAGAGAGAAAACAAAAAATAGAACGAAAAAAGAGAGAAAACTACCCTGTGTAAATATAATGTAAAAAACGAGAAGAGAAAATCACATAATTTCTCACATGGACTTTTAAGTGTTAAGGAAGACAACAACAAAAAACGGATATTTTATAAATAAATTACGCCATCAAATCTAAAATTTTTGTGTGGAATATTCCTGGTGAGGCCCCTCAAATTTTCCCTCCAGCTGACCAGCATAAAATTCGCCGTGCTGGAGCTGCAAAGCTATAAAGCGCGCCTGAGGGTTTTCCAACCTTCCACAGGTGTTTATAACATTTTTTTATTCTACTTCTTCTTTCATTTGTGTATTTTCTCTATGTAAATGTGTACGTGTGCCTTTTATGTTTTGTGTATGTGTTCGCATCAATCACTCATGACCTTGAGCAAGCAGAACATCAAGTTTTTTCTTTCATTCACATAATTTTTTATGTTTAAAAATTTTTTACCCGAAACTTTATGATTTACATTTTTAAAAAAAATCATCGTCATCCTGCCCAGACCTCAACACCCTTTTCGTATTAAAAAAATCAGAATTTAATATAAAATGCGTAATCGTTTAGCTTCTTTGATTGTGGTTAAGCAGGAGCCGAATTCGAATAGCATAGGATCAAATCAAACAAATCTAGGCTCCCAATCGGCAGCCTATACTGGAGTTGTGGGTATTACCGAAATTCATAACAACAACAACAATCAGCAACATAATTTATATAACAACAACGAAGTAATACAATCCGGTGATTTAACTCATACATCGACGACAATAAACATTAAAACTGAAAATCATTTCTATGAAATCAACAACAACAATTTACATCACAGTGATAATTATAACTACAACACCAACAACAACTTGACAAATAACACAAATGGTGGTGGCAAAAATCTACCACCCTCACCCATAACCGCCTCTACGACACCAACAAATTTCATTTATCCTTGCCGTAATTTATTTCCGGATGGTTGTGATATTTCCCATCATCATAGCCAGCAGCATCATCCACAATTGCAGCAACATCACCATTCCACACAACTAAATACTAATAATAATTGTTCCAATTATTATTATAATCTAAGTGAAACTCCCTCACCGGTTACACCACCCTATGGCACAGCGAATGGTGATAAATTCATTTTAAAATCAGAACCCTTACCCTATGAACATTCCGTTTTGGATGTTGTGGCTGCTGCAGCAACGGCCACCGATAATTTATGGTGTTTAAGCAATTTAACGTATCGCAAACAGTTGGGAAGTTTTCATGTGGCAACAACATCATCGTCACCGGAACATCACTTTCAACATAACAACAGCAGCAACAATAGTAATAGCAGTAATGTAAATAGCAACAACAACAACGGGAACTGTATGTATAAATGTTTTTGTTTTTTACGGGAAATATTTCCTTTTGGTGGTGGGTTTCTTAGATTTAAAGGAGTTATTAAGATGATATCTTTAAGATGCCGAAAATTAAAAAATTACATATTTTTTGAGTGTCAAGCATTTCATTATAGAGAGAATGTGGTTCTTTGGTTCTGGGATTTCAAATTCCAAATTTTTTTTTAAAGAAATAAAAGAAGATTTTTTTTTATTCCTCAACAGTAACGACAAAATAGTTAACTTACAGAAAATTTCGAAATTTGTTACGGTGTACAACCATTACTTATGAATTTTCATATTCGATCTCTCTAAGAAGTAGACCAGCCAACCGATCAACTTCTAGCTTAAAAACAACGAAATTGTAAACAAATTTATTAAAAAATTTATATAAAAATAATATATATGTACAGTAAATGATGTAAAAATAAGTAATATGTGTATCGCGTTTATTGGTGCGTATAAGTAATATTAATAGAAATGAACACTGTGGCGTATGGTTAATTTACTGCAAAATACGACTTATATATCATACGTAGGCAGTTTTAGTCATTTACATCACTGTAAAAGTATCTCTGATGAGTAGTCCACTCGACGACATTTAGGATATCGGTGGTTTTTAATTTTATTTACCACTTCCGAATTTTCTATAAAATATAACCAATATATACGGAAGAGCCACCATCTCATTGTGAGATCCCTTTCCTCTTTTATCCTCTTTCAAATATTTTCTAATACTAATAGTTCTTTCAGCTGATTACATTTTGTTTACATTCTTCATACATTTCTATTTTCCTTGAACGAAAATAATTCATAATAAATATCTATGATTCAAACCTACACACACACACAAACACATCAGCAACAGATTTTTTCCATTAACGACGTCACCGCTAGAAAGAAAAAAAAAACGTCATTGTCATCTCTAAATCAATATGATATGATATTATGATGCAGGATATGATGATGATGAATAACACTACCGAATTAAATTTTGTTATTCATTTGGAAATAATTCAAGAGCAAAGGGACAGGGGCAACAACACCTGCGTCAATGGTCTGGGTATTTGTCATAAAAAATTTTGTTTATTTCCTAATATTTAATACGTCGTTGTTTTTCTGTTGATTGTAAATATAAAAATTTTGAGATGATAAAATCGGCATCTATTCTATAGCATATGTGATGTGAAATAGGGAAAACTACTTTTTGGCATGAGTCTTTATAGAATCGTATGAATGAGCCTCTGTATACTCTTATGAAAAAGTCATTATAGATTCTTATAAAGGAGTCTGTATAGACGCTATAAAGAAGTTTGTATATAAGTCTTATAGACTCCTATAAAGAAGTCTTTACAGGCTCCAAAAAAGAAGCCTATATTGACTCCTACAAAGCAGTATTTATAGACTCCTATAAAGGAGTCTGTATAAACTCCTATAAAGGGGTCTGTATAGACTCCTATAAAGGAGTCTGTATAGACTCCTATAAAGGAGTCTGTATAGACTCCTATAAAGGAGTCTGTATAGACTCCTATAAAGGAGTCTGTATAGACTCCTATAAAGGAGTCTTTATAGACTCTTGTAAAAGAGTCATTATAGACACCTAAAAAGGAGTATTTATAGACTCCTACCAAGGATACTCCTGTAAAAGAGTCTTTATAGATTCATATTAAGGAGTCTTTATAGACTCCTATAAAGGAGTCTGTATAGACTCCTATAAAGGAGTCTGTATAGACTATGTTGTCAGGGTGTTATAGCTTTGTGCAGCCCCAAATTTTGTAACGCCGCGAAATATTGGTCCTAGACCCACCTTTAAGTATACCGATCGTCATATCTCGACTAGCTGAGTCGATCTAGACATGTGTGTCCGTCCGTCCGTCTGTCCATTATAATTTGTAAACACGATACAGGCCACAGTTATGGACCAATCTTCACGAAATTTTGCATGTAGAATGGGTTCTGGCCAATGAAGACCCCTACTGTTTTTGGAAAAGATCGGTTAATCGGGGATGAAATGGACCAAAAACTTTATTTTTATCGGTTTTTCTGGTCGCTTCAGAGGCCGCAATTATGGCCCAAACACCGCGAATTTTTGCATGGAGAAGGGGATCGGGCTAGAGAATAAGCATGCATTAGCGGGTCAAATGGACCCTAACTTTTGTGGTAAAAATTACAACATTTGTTTTGTACAGCGTATAGATTTACTGCAGAAGGACCTAGACCCGAGAAGTTGACAACATATTCACGAGGAGTGGTTGGCCGTCAAATTGATACCAATTACTTTGTAGATGTACTAAAAAGGATGTGGGAGTTACCTATAAATGTTTTTATACTTACGTATCAAAGGAGTGATAACACATTCCACATAAAGGAGTGATAATACAGCGCTGATCGCTATGAAATTTTCCATAGATCCCTGCAAATGAGATATAGATCCCTTAAAGGAGTATTTATTAAATCCTATAGAGAAATCTTTAGACTTCTATAAAGGAGTCCAAATAGACACTATTGAAAGTAGAACATCACAACACAACGTAAAAAGAGGCATCTGGACAAGAATTACAGGAGCTGTATGAAGAAATTTTTATTATTATCGTTTGCCTTATTATGTCTTTGTGCATACGTTTGTAACAGGCAAAAGAATGGAGACAGGCCCATGGTTCTTTTTGAGAATATGCATATAATCACTTTCTGAGTTGATTTACGCATGTACGTCTGTATGTCCGTTCGTCCGTTCATGTCGCATTTTTGATCCGATTTGGATGAAATTTGGCACAGTTCACTTATTTGGCCCAAGGACAAACCTTATTGAAATTGGAGAAAATCAATTCAGATTTAGATAGTTTCGTCCGATTTTATGTATATGATGCATCAAAAATTTGCACAGCGCACTGAATCAGGCTCATGCTTATGTGTGCGAAGTTTTGTTGGAATCAGTTCAAATTTAGATATAGCTCCCATATATAGTTTTGTCCGATTTTATGTGAATGATGCGCCAAACTCCCAATATTTGTCCGATTGGTACCACATTTTGCACAGAGTTCTGAATTAGGTCCAGACTGGTGTCTGCGAAGTTTTGTTAAAAACGGTTAAGATTAAGATATACCTCCCATACATATATAGTTTTGTTAGATTTTATGTGAATGATGAGCCAAACTTCCAATTTTTTCCGATTGGGACAAAATTTTGCACAGAGTTTTGAATTAGGTCCACACGGATATCTGCGAAGTTTTGTTTAAAACGGTTAAGATTAAGATATACCTCCCATATATAGTTTCGTCCTTTTTTTGTGAATGATACATAAAACTCCCAATATTTGTCCGATTGGGACAACTTTTTGCACAGCGCACTAAATCATGTTCATGCTTATGTGTGCGAAGTTTTTTTTGGAATCGGTTCAGATTTAGATATAGCTCCCATATATAGTTTGGTCCGATTTTATGTGAATGATGTACCAAATACCCAACATTTTTCCGATTGGCAAAACATTTTGCACAGAGTTCTGAATAAGATCCAGACTGATGTCTGCGAAGTTTTGTTGAAATCGGTTCAGATTTAGATATAGCTCCCATATATAGTTTATTCCGATTTTTTGTGAATGATGCAACAATCTTGTGAAGGGTATCATATAGTCGGCCTCGTCCGACTTTTGGACTTTCCTTATTGGTTAAGACTAAAAATTATCGCAGAGTACCATAGAAACCTCTTCAACCCAACCAATTGTCCCCCTTTCACTTCTGTGCAATGCATTCTTTATTTTCAATATTTTGTAATAATTTTTAGCGTGTCAAGCATGAAAGCATTCATTATCTTTTCTTAGTTCAGTTTTTGTTGTTGTTTTTTTTTTCTTTTTTTTTTGTAATTTTTGTTCAAACGTCATAGGTTCTTGTTGTCGTAATTACCGCATAGTGCGGCATATTCAATAAATTTTTCTTGTCGGCATTTTTATTTTTTGTTTGGCGAACAATTTTGTTTTTGTTGTTTTTTTATTTTTGTTTTATTTTCGGTTAAATTTAAAAATAATAACCACGTGCATTCTTTGGCGTTTTTTTTATTATTTGATGTTTTGGTATTGTTGTTGGTGTTCTTGTGTTTTTAAGCAATATTTATGGTAATTGCAAATCACGAGTATTCTCTTCTCTTTTTTTGCATTATGAGCAAATATTTTTAAAAATAGTTTGTTTTTTCGGTATTTTCGATTTATTTAAGGTGTTATGTAGGTATAGATGTAAAAAGATTGTATTCATACAAGTATACATACATAAATTGTTTCGAATGTTAAGATGTTGGAAATATTGCTACATTTTTTGTACATCCCCATGGAAACAGAAAAAATAGAAATTTTGCAAAGCGGGTGGAAAATGGAATAGCTGCAAGAGAATTTTTATACATTATATATGGTGTAGCGTAGTAGGGTCGCAGGATGATCTATTGGGGATTATGTAGCCGTAGAGAATTACTTCTAAAAGAAAAAAATATAGAGCAGAATACGATTTTTCACACTATAGTTCTAGTAATAATGTATTCTTAGTAAAGTCCTTCAATGTTTTCCAATTCTATTTAGGTCATGAATAGTGTATTTTCCCTTATATTGGGTTCAACGATATCCAAAAGTTGAACAGTGTCTTCTCCGCATGATTTTCATCAGCTGTACAAGCCAATAAAATTGTTTAATAGATTCAAATTTGTTTGAGTTATATGAACCTTTTTTAACCACTTCGAAAAATCTCGTTCCCGAATTTTACTTTTCTTTTTTGTTTTTTTTTTCGACAAAAGATCATCAATTTCCCCAAAAATTATTAATCACACAGCACCATGACGTCACAAACATCATAGAACAATAGAAATTGAGGCAATTGTTATGTTGTTGATGTTTTTGCCAAGGCGAACTTAGCAGACCCCTTCAAATTGTTGACATACCTTAGAACTGTATGCCATTTTGGCACTGCAACAAGAATTCGAAC